TATTCATTTATGCTTTTTTTTTTTTTTTAATATTAAATTTATATAATAATAATAATATAAAAAAAAAAAAAAAAAAAGGTAATGAGGATTGAAGATGTGAACAATAACGGGACATTGATCATTGGGCTAACCATAGGTCTTCACTAATGCCTCTCCAGATGAGGTTCTAGAATCACCTTTCCTCACTCCTCTTGGTTTAACTCAAGCATGGACTTATTTTTCGCGGTGGTCTCAGTCTCGAGAATGAATAGTTGACCGGACATTTGAATGCTCTGATATATAGTCTCATATGATGAGACCATGAGTCCATTGCAAAAATTCTAGCAAAGCCTATCAATTTTATACACTATTCACAATCCTGAAATAAATTTAAAATAGTATCTTCGAGTTCAGATTTTAGATATATGAACTTGTTAAACACATTAAATAAATGTGCCGTAAAGAATTCGATTAAACACGATAAGAACCTGACTTGATATGAATTTGATTACATTCAATTATAATGAGTCAACTATGACTTAAGTATTTTGACATGACACAAATTGAACATGACACGACTCGCGTTGACAACTCTTACTCTCACTTAAACTAATTTTATTGATGAGATGATCTTTTTTTGACAACTTGATATCACGGACTAACGTTATCATGTATGAATTTCTTCTTCTATAGATTTAGTTCATAATTGGATAAACTCTTTGAGTTGACATAATCTTGATTGTATATGATTTATACATGATACAAAATGGACAACTACGTGAATTCAATAGTTTGTGATTACAAATAAATTGCCTATTAATTAAATAAATTTTAACTCGACACAATTTAAATCTAATATAATCTATTATTAATCCTATTTATTAGTGATTACTATGCGTTTAAGTGATATTATCTACATTTGAAATTCAATTACTAACCAATTTTAGCTTCCTAAGATAAGAGAGTATTCGCAAGAAATTCAAATTTTAAAATTCCTTACCGTTTAGAAGAAAAAATATTCATCGCAATGGTGATCACATCATCACATCACTGTCACGCGGTGTCACCATTTAATTAGAAGACTACAAGTAAGAAAAGTGGACCACACTAATCCTTTGTGTTGATGATAGGGGTGTGGTAGTTACTGATAGTTATGAAAAATGTAGAATCCACTTTACCTTATTTTGTGATATTTTAATTGGATTGTGATACCACGTGACAAAAATAATTTGGTGTCACTATTGCAATTAATATTTTCTCCATTAGAGCTGCATCAACATTGTAAGAGAAAATCTCACTTTGGACCCTAAAATATATAAATTTTTTCATTTTACACTTTCAAAGATTAAATTTTTCATATTGTATCTTTAATTTATTAAAAGTGTTGAAATCCAGTTCTTTCATTAATTTTCGTTTCTTTTTGTGTCAAAAATACCCCATTAATATTGATAAAATGATTAGAAGGATCATATTATAACATTTTTAATATACTATAAACAGGGAGGTAGTGATTTTTGTTTCCAGTTTTTGTATTTTCCAAAACTTGGACCCGTTTTACGATATATTAGTTGACCCTTTCCTTTGAGTGTCATGGGATTGAATGCCCCAACCCTCATAGGCTTTTGAGAAAGATTTGTCAACCTGTTGGGCAGGTAAGGGTAATTCTTACGCCCCTCATATGTTTAAATCCCCATCTTCACGTAAAGGTGGCAGTTTACGATCTTGTTTCAAATATCTAAACTAAAAGCCAGTTAACTTGACAAATGACTAGGGAGGCAGTTGATCCAAAAAAAATGAGTATCCGTCCAAACACGTCTCGTTTGGATCAAGGAATGGACTATATGTATTGGACAGTGGAAGGATATAGGAATACCCGTATAAACCCGCACGGGGATAAAGGCGGGGATGAACTTACCCTTACCCCCGCCCCGCTTTGTCCCCGTTACTCGTAATATATATATATATATATATATATATATATATATATATATATATATATAT